CCGGTCCATAAGCTTGAAGAAGATGGAGACTCTTTAGTAAACTGATAGGGAGCTGCTTGAATGTCAGCAGGGCCTGATACTGTGTACCAACCACCCACTCCCAGTGGAGCACAGGTATCTCCATTGTCCCTGGCAGTCCTGAGGCTGAGTCAGGCTCCTTGGACAGCAGATGAATTAGGAGAGCTAGTGGCACAAACGCACCTCCATGATTCACACTATGCTCCCATATGGCAAAATGCAGGGGAAGAAGCAATTTACGGAGTTGCTTTCACATTAAGAGACAAACAATACACTTTTACTTGCATCCCACAGGGCCGAGCACCTGCCCTGCTGCACATGCTTGTGTTAGTAAGTGTTTGACTGATGTATGCAGGGGACAAAGAAAAGAAATTACCTTATGTGATGACACTTGGGGAACTGCAGCTACAGAAGAAGAGGTACAAGAGAGAAGTAGCTGAGTTTTAAAATTAATAGACCAAATAGGATTTAAAGTCAATTTGAATATGGCACAAACCCAAGTTAAATGCTTGGCTACTGGAACTGGTGAAACAAGAAGATGGATAAATGCTAGAAAGGTTAAGCTTTCTGTGATATAAAGATTCCCACTAATCAATCCCAACTCTGAAGAGTGCTGGGAGGATTTAATTTCTTATGGCAGCATATCTATAACTGTGCTAGTATCTTATGGCAGCATATCCATCTTTGCTAGTAGCAACAGAGCATTAGGGAAATGACAGAAAAAGAATCAAGAATGGAGCTGGAGCAAAGATCTAGACAGTGCTTTATCTGGCATGAAAGAAGATGCTTGAAAAGCTTCTGCACTAAAATTCCCAGTCAAAGGAAAATTATTCATAATAAGAATTTTAACATGAGCTGATACTGTCTAAGCAGTGCTGTTACAGAGAAATAGTGAAGGAAAATGGATTCCAGTAGTGTATGAGTCTTCTCCTCTCCATTGGCTGGACCAAACTTTCCCTGGCCATGAGAAAACCTGGTTAGAGGCACTCTGGACTATGATGGTGTTTGAGGCTTTCCTGCTCAGTAGTGAAGTTGTACCCCAGTCTACTCCTACTCTGCTTTAAGCATGAAGAGAATAAATGGCTATCAGTGTGGATACCCTTTTAAAGGAAACCACAAATAAACCAAAGGTATTGCACACTCATGGGAGAGCTTCATTTGAACAAAGTGGAAGAATAATCCAAGATAGTGCTATCAGTGGAATAAGGGAACAGGTAGTGTGGAAACTAGAGAAAGGATCATGCCAAGGAGTTTACAGGCTATCAGTAGAAGACAAACCTTTCTACACACTATCTCTCTACAGATAGCTACTATGCTGATAATAGAACAAAATAATGAGTGCATGATAGGGAGAACGGCAATGGCAAGCACATAATGGGACACCTATGAAGAAAAGAGGAGGTTTATTTTAAAAGCTTAGATGGAGACTGGAAATCAAATATATGTAAAGGATGTTAAAGTAATGGGAAGACTAAAAGCAATACTGAGAAATGGATTTTGTTTTCTGCAGCCCCAACAAAGTATCAGCTAAAAAAAGGAAGATGGGATGGATACTGTGGCCAGCTGAATGAGAGCAAACTATCTGAGACTGACATAGTGAGTTACATTAAGGAGTGCAAGGTATTCTGAAAAGAGTGCAAAGAATTTATATTTGCCCCCAAATGAAGCAAGAAACAGAGGACATAAATAAAAATTGTATAAGGTGTGCATGATGCAAAAGTGGATTACTAAAAGAAAGCTGCCAGCACTACTGCATTGCCTAAACCAAGGACTGTGACAAATACTGCAAAGGGATCACCCAGATAAACTGTCACAAACTAGAGCATCAGCATCTCTTTGTCACAATTAGTATCGTTCCTGGATAGATTGAGGCTCTTCACCTAAAAAGAAATACAACTACTGGAACTGTAACAATATTGTGGCGGAAAATTGTTTGTAGAATGGGACAGCAGCTAAAACAGGATGAGATAAACAGCGGGGTGGGAGCAGGGAGGTTGCAAGTGAAGTAACTCAAGCCTTAATAAGTAACCTGGGGATTAAGCAAGGACTGTATATACCCTACCACCTGTAATCCTCCAGACTGGTAGAAAGAAATGAGTCAGACTATTAAAAATATACTAAAGAAAATTGTAGGACAATATCCAAAATGATGGGCTGAAAAGTTAACCTCTCTATTAGTAGCATTAAGGAGCAGTGACAGATTAGGGACTGGTTTATAACTCTACCATATTTTGTTTGGATAGCCTGTCCCGTAGTGGTCCTATGTCTAAGACCCTGAAATACTACAGCAGGATAAAGAAGAAAACAATGCTTGAATAGAAGAAACAACATGAGAAAAATGGGTAAAATGAGAAAGCAAGGATACAATTCATATATGGCTTATAAAATAAGGGGTCAAGTACTGTATTTGAAACCAGATAAAGACAAGCAAGCCTTAGAGACAAAATGAAAGGGGACCTATTAAGTTTCTAATAGGATAAATTCTCTAAGATATTAAATAGATGAGGGCAATAGTAAATACAAACTGGTTCATGTTTCTCAGATGTCCCCCTAAGGGGCCAAAAAATTCTGGAATCTGTCATGAATTTGTCAAGAATACAGACACAGAAAATGTCCCAAAGAGGAACCTCTGGCGCCTGTGCAGCCTGAGCCCCTGCACTCACAGCCCACATCAGTGCAACTTCATCTCCCACAAGCAAGGGGGTGCAGCCTGCCTGGTGTTCACCTCCCACCTGGCTCCAGCAGATCTGTTTATATGCTTGCATACTAATGGGGCTGGTTTATGCTGCAAGTTTTGCTTATTTTCTATTTTTGTAGGACAACAGATTTTACTACAGCTCCTCAAACAAGCAACAGCTGACAGAGTCAGGGACCAGCAATGCAAACTCCAAGGCAAGGCAGAGGAGCTGAGGTCTCCTGCAGTTACAAGGATTTCTAAATTGGCTTTTCACTTCATGTTAATAACTTTGGTCTTCTTACAAATTGCATTAATTTCAGATATTTAACAAGGCAGATAATGACCATGAAGTGCTTTTGAGACCTAGAGATGATCACCTTCAGACCTTTATGGTTCTGGAGGCCAGACCAGAAAGCGAATGCCTCCGCAGGGACTCCCTGCTCGGTCCTGATCAGGAGCCTGGCATTGCTGCAGGGTTTGAAGCATCCTTGCTGCACTCATGGGCAGCAGTCCAGAAGCTGGTGACAACCAAAGGAGAGGAGAAACAGTGACCTGCAGACCAGTAAAGTGGCATTGCTATAACCTGTGCATTAACTTTATAGAGTTCATTGTTACATCTTGCCTGTTTGGAGCTTTATTTTTTTTTTTTTTTTTTTTAGTCTGTTTTACTGGAGTCGCCAATAAGATTTTCATGGCTAGATAGCTAACCTATGACCTAGCCTGCCTTAATCTTGCATAGCTTGGTCCAGCTACTTAATCTAATAGTAATAACTGAAGAACTGAAATGAAAAATTGTTATGGCTCTTAAGGGAGCCTTGAGAGTTACAGCTCATGATCTGGATCCACCCAGATTGGGAAATCATAGCTGAAGCTTTGGAAAAAGTGCTCTAAAATTGCAATAACTGAATGAACTCAGTAGTTTTATTCGTTTACAGGAAAATCCAAGGAGGAGGAACAACTTGAGGAAAAGCAACTAGCCCTGATGTTGAGCTGCTGATTTCAGTAATGGCCTTTTAAGCAATTTAGGAGGAGTTCAGGAGTGAGGGTCAAATAAGAAAGGAAGCAGAAAGGGGGGATTGAGGCAGACGGGAGACTAAATGCTGACAGTAGCTAAGGAGTTAATAATTGAAAGAACTGGGAGTTCTGTGTAGGTCTGAAATGGGATAAAGTGTAATGGATTGTAAACTACTATGACTGAGCCACAGTGGAAGTAACACTGGAGAGCAATGTTAGCCATGTTAATAGCCAAAACTTAACTGCTAAGCCTTGCAGTCCTTTAAAGAGGAAATTATAAAAATCATATATCGTGGGTAAGGATGGTAAAAGTCTGCACAGAATGTTATAAATGATCACAAACCACCCTGCGTAATTCTCCCCTTCACTGTTCCCCACAGCTGTTTAGCTGCCTCCACACAATCCCAAGCCCAGCTCTGATACTGCACAGCTGCATAACCTTGGGCCAAACTTCTGAGCAAACCGCTAAGTTATGAGACAGCCTGCAAGAAGATAAGAAGGGCAAAAGCAGGGGGAGGAAAAACTGAGAGCTTTGGGTCAGATCAAGCCATTAATATCTACAGTGAAAACTGGATAAAACTGGGTTTGAGCATCCCAACCATATGTTTACCTTCCTCACAAATGGCCAGCAATAGCATTAGTCACACACCTGAGCTACATCAGGTGATAGTGATATCAGAATAACTAAGAAAAAGACTGTGCTGTGTCATAGACTGGAAAAGTGAAAGCTTGTGAAATTCTCACAAGGACTGGCAAACTCGGGGCACCAGTGGATCCACTCAGTCTGCAATAACCAATAAACTCAGAGGCTGCTGAGGTTGCCCAGGGCCACCAGCACGAATGAACATCAATAGCTGTGATTACTACCTGCTGTGAAGAATGGCAGCTGGGCTCTTCAGCACTGCATGCTGTGGGAGCTTCTAAAAGAAAGCCTGAAGGGGGTGTCCATGCTCTGCTCTGGAGTGGCCAGGGATTGCTCAGTGGTGTTTGTGCTGGGGGGGATACAGGTAGCATCCCCCTGTGCAAGAAGCTGAGGAGAGGCTGGGAGCTGAAATTTCAGAACTCACAGAGTTGGTTCAGATTCTGGAGCAGCTCTGCATTTCACAAATGTATGAGGCTATAAGAGGCAGGAGATAGTGGGGACTGAGGGTCATTCATGAAGTTGCTTTGGGGATAAAAAGAAAGCAGATTAATTTATTCTCTCAAATTGGAAAAAAAAAAACACAAAAGAAACAAACAAACAAAAAACCAAAACAGAAACCCAAAACCAACCAAACAAAAATCCCCAAAAAACTCAAAATCAATAAACCAACAAAACATATCTCTCTCTCTCCTTTTTTTCTCTTTTTTTTTAATAAAGATTTTTTCCTCTTCCTTGCACTCAAAAGCCCAACACACAGCTCTTGACTTCAGCTGTTTAGCTTGGCCATGCTTTTTGTCTCTGCTAAGATTCTTCTAGCAGTCAACAGAAAAGCTACCGAAAAAGCCAGCAAGCCTTGGGTCCATCCCGCTGCCCTCCTCCAAGCTGGCCCTACATACAAAAGTGGAAAGCTGTTGGGGTTGCGTGGTGACAGGCAGCAGTGCAAATGTTTGGAGAAGACAGGAATTATCAGATGGGAACTGGGTGAAGGCAGAGCGGGCATGTTTGGGGCTGAGAGGGAAGAAAGGACGGAAATAGCTCAGTTCTTGTATTAACTGATAACATTGAGCGCATTAATCAGCGAGTGAAGCTCATCCCTTACGCTCTCCAGGGAGTGACAGATCGTCTGAGGGCTGTCCAGGAGCTCGATGCTGTGGGTGTAGGGCTCGTATTTCACCGAGAAGGGCCGCTTGATGTGCGCTGCATAGGTCCTGCAAGGGAAGGGTGCAGACAG